TCGCCTGCATGCTTCACTTGGCAGGAAAACACCGGATTGTCCACAGCTATGTTAGGAGCCAGTCTTTTTAAAAAAAAATCTTGTCCTGTCCTATTTCTTCTCTGTGCACCTCGGGGGACGTGCACACGAGTAGCTGGAGCTTCCCGGCCTCCTGACTGAGCCCAGACATCATCCTGTGCCGAGCCAGGTTGGGCCCGTCCAGATTCCGACTGGCCGTCACCCGGGGGGTTCGGTGCAACGCTCGGATTAGCTGCGAGGAATCAAACGCTGGAATCTCCCGGCGGTGGGGAAGGAGGAGAGGCTGTGGGTTCACCACCAATTTTGAAGCGGTGGCAAAAAACAAACGGCACCAGCCCGACGCAGTGAGACGGCACACACCGAAACACGATGGCGCAAACACGATGGCGCAAACACAGGCGAGGCGAGGGAGACGAGGTTTCACTTTTTGCCCAGAAGAAAATGTGCTGCACGGCGCTGACAGCAAAGAGAATCTACTGCCTGCAAATCAAAAAGATTATTTTATTATGCCTCATGTGAATAGAAACAAGCTCTGCTCCCCTCAGCCTCCCCCTCCCCTCCACCTTCTCCCTTCCTGTCTCCATTAGTTACATATTCTATGAAGTGTGGCAGAGTCCTATATTGTACCAGTGCAGAATTCTGTTATTTCTCGTTGAGCAGAGATTTCGATACAAGCAGCAGCCGAGGCAGAGCGTGTGTTTGGCTTTGTGATGACTCATGAGGTTCTGGGGAAACAAATGGAGAAGCAAGATCTTTTTCTTCCTGCGACGCCTTCTGCTCAACAGTCCAATGCAGCTGAGACTCTGTCTGCCTGTGATGCTGCGACTGTCAGGCTGGGAACGCACACCTACACCACTCCATTAATTGCATTCCTCTACAATTAGCGCCTCGTTTATACAGCTTTAATTAAGCGTGAAATTATGGATCCTGCCTGTTTGAGGTTAGCATCTCATCTCCTGTTGCGAATGCTGCTGTGAAATCCTTCATATAAAATGGAGTTCTGCGCCTGATGCGTCCCTGGTGGCTGAAGAAACAGAGGATCCAGAGAGTTTCTACATGAGAATTAGTAAAGGACAAGACCAAGGGCAGGAGGAGGGGTTCTCTCTCAGTGTGTGTGTGTGTGTGTGTGTGTGTGTGCGTGCGTGCGTGCGTGCGTGCGTGTGTGTGTGTGTCAGAATGACTCACAGCACAGAAGAGCTTCTCTGTTATCACACTCTGAGGGGGGAATAGCTGCGGTTCTCTTCTTGTGGACATTGGAGTCGTTTGCTCACAACACGCAGCGTTTCTGTAAAACGTTGAGAGTGAAAGTTTAGAAAAAGAGTCAAACTTTAGCGACTGGACAGTCAATTTACCCTCCAGTAGATTCGTTATGTTTTGAATCCTGATGGAAAGACCTTTCCATGACTGTCACTGGAAAACCGATTTAAAGTGTTGCTGCAGCAATTCAGAGGGAAAGACGTAAAAAGAAGCTGCTAATCAAATAAGTGTTTCACTCATTCGCTGGTCTAGAGCACACAGGGTTGTATTAGCACAATGTCAAGAAGGAACAATGACATTTTCCTTCTTCAGAGGAAAATTGAGGTGAAATTCCCTCCACACTCACATGGTTGGTACAAATATATATTTACTATTTTGCATGGCATTGAGTGGCACTGCATATACAAGTCACGTTTTTAGCATGAGGATGATTTCCATTAATTGACAGATTTTCATGCGGAGATGCTTTGCAGAAGAAGTGTGAAAACTCTCATTGGCTATAATAGGTGTGTAATCAACCTTGTGAACGTGCTGCTCCTCTGAGGACAGAAAACAACTCACTGTTCAAGGTAAACAGTTTCACCTGTGGCTATGCTAATTAACCTTAGCATTCATGACAGGCTAAGCTAATTGGGGAAAAACTGCATTGTAGTGGAGAGCAAAGGGGGGAAGTGGCGCACACATGTGAGTGATTGACAGCACTAAGACCCACCTGGCTCTGATTGGTTGTTCTTAATTAGCACTGGGAGAAGGCACTCTTTATCTGTCTGTTATTACACTATCATGGCATAGTGACAGTTTCAACAGACCAAATAAGTTTTTGTAACAATTATGTTCGGCAGCTTTAAGTCTGGTAGCGTTGGAGTTTCTTGGCATTTCTGTTCTGTGGGATAAAAAAAACCAAACAAAATTCTAAATTTGAGCGTGTGTTTGGTTTTCTTTATTGAATCACCTAAATAACAGCTTATTTATCCAGCTCATCTATCAGCTGGATGTTTGCTCTCTTGAGTTCAGAACCTCCCACACAATGAATCTACAGTAGATTCCTCTGAGGGGAAGCTTTTGTGTTTGAACCAAACACTTCTCTTCTATCACATAAAACTGCTCCACTATGAAGTGTCAGCTACCTTTCTTGTACGAAAAAAGGACGTTTTTTTCACCTGCCTCTCTAAGTGAGGGCATCATTAGCTAAATCGTTAATTAGCGTAATTACCCTCCAACTTGAGTGTGATGAGAAATAGATGCTTTCACGTCGCAGAAAATTAAACGTTGATCTACGGGTCACGTGACCTTCAGCTGCTATTCCTCACGGTGTGGAAAGCAGAGACTTTGTCTGTAAACAGGTTAACCAACTGGTAAAGGAGAGCTTTCATAGGAGCAGAGGAGTAAAATGATCCACGTCTCAGTCCATGTTTTGTTTTGTTTTGGAAGCAAACGCAACCCAGTTACCGTTACAAATGATTCAATGATTCTCTCCACATTTACATGGCTGTTGGCCCGATTGTTTTTTCGTGTGTGCGTGTTTTGTCTCTGCGGCTTCTAAAAGGCTCCGGTTACTCGGGCACTAACATACTGCAAGAAGAAACTCTCCTCGTTCTCGAACACAGTTTTAGTCACCGCTGTTGTTCCAACACATCCATCAACATCAAGTCTCTTGAGGATAACGTTCTCTAACGACGGTTGTTGGGTTGCTGTTATTTCTTGTAAATATGCAAATAGTAGCAGAGGGAAAAAACAAGTAAAAAAAAGAAATAAAAAAATTATGTTTTGAAGACTTTATGGAAATTTCAGGGAATGGAAGTAACCACTCCAAGCTGTGGCTTCCTGTTTTAATGTCGATTTAATCGGTGAAGCTTCGTGTGCCAGACGAGACACGAGAGACGTTTCTCCATCCACGCATAAAGAAATGTAATTTTAAAAAACAGCAAGGGAGGAACATGACAAGTAATCATTGTGATAAAAAAAAAAGAGTCTAACACAAAAATATGTAATTGTGCTTTTCTCTGAGAAATGACAGTGGTTTCCTTGTTGGTGTAGAAGGAACTTTAGCTCTGTATTTTGAAATCTCTGCTTATTTTTTGCGTGCTGTTACTTCACAATAATGTTTATGGGGATGCATTGATCCACATTGTTTACTTGGATACAGATACCTGATTAGTATCAGGCATTACCAATCCAATTCAGAAAAACGGTCCTGATTTTGTTTTTAAAGGTTCTTTTTTTTAAAACACAGACATAATTGTACTAAAATATCAATGCATTTGATTAGTTTGCACCAGCACAGCAGACTTAAATACATCAATAGTTTCACAAACTTGGTCAAGCAGATGAAAACAACACAACTGTAATCTAATCAATTAGGAGTAAAACAGCTGATGTGAAAGAAATGATAAAGAAACTGAAACTGAAAGATACGACAGGTTGACCACATTGGCTGAACATGTAGAAATAAATTACAAAAAATCCTTTCAAATGGTTCAGAAAATGCGATTAGGAACTCAAAATAAAGTTTACACTTTATTTTGTGTAAACTTTACTGCTACTGCTATTAATTAAAGCGAGACAAGTGTAACGTTGTCTCGCTTTAATTAATATTAAAGCGAGACAAATCATAGCATTAGAGTGAATAGATGGGCCCCTTGGGTTTAGCTTCTGATACCTGATCCTACAATTGAGAAAAATATATATCAGGACCATTCCAGATATTAATATGGGATCGGCGCATCTCTGCTGAACAGAAAATATAATCGTTTTTGAGTCTTCTCACAAAACTGACAGAAAATATCAGATAAAACAGTAAATTTCTCCCCCCTGAACAGCCTGGTGAGTGATGACCACTCCCTTCATTTTCGCTTTTTGTGTCTCTGAAGAACAGAGGGGAAAAAGTTCCACCGTATCGACTAATGCCGAGAACACAAGAGTCCTTCTGCTGGCCGGGGGAAGTGATGGAGTACTGCTGAAAGTAATTGAGTACTGCTGAAATCCCCGATTGGATCCTGCGAGAGAAGAGAGAAAAGACTGAAGTGTTTAACGGCTCGGCGGAGTCGGTGCCAGCTGGCAGCATTTGCATTCTGGCTCTTTTCCAGCATTCTTAATGAAAATGTGAAACAAAAACACAAAGCAAAACAAAAAAGGGTCTCTATTCACATTTGCTTTTTTAATTAATTTGAATACTGTGTAAATTGACAGGAAGTGTGGATGGATGCGTGAACAGTGACTGTAATGATGACAGATGCAAGTGTTAACAATTAATTATAAAACGCTTAATGAATACATTTTACAAAATGAATACATCTATAGTTCCCTGTATTAATTCTAGCTGCATGCATGTGGAGTGTATTTTTTCCGACTGGTCAATGATAAAAAAGTTTGAACAAAATGTTGGAGAAATTAAGTGGTCAAGATACAATAATGTTGTGATTTGTTATGACCTTTATTTTTCTTTCTGCTGTACTTTATGACCTATAAGGATTTTCCTATTGCATATAAAACCGAATAACATTTTCCAGAAGATATCAAACCCACAATAATTAATGAGTGATGAAGCAAAGCAGATTGCACTCATTGCCTGTCCTCTCCTGTAAAGACAGTCTCCGTCTAATTATGGGTGGGAAATGGGCTCCATGGCAACGTCTACCTCACAAAACTGGTACCTGGTTTTGTTTGACGTTTGGGTTTGTGCCTCGACCATCAGATCATTTTGGTGCCTTTGTTTTCCTTTGCAGGGCAGCGATGAGAGCGACGTGGACAAGAACAAGTGCTGCACGTTGTGCAACATGTCCTTCACCTCAGCAGTGGTGGCACAGTCTCACTACCAGGGTAAAATCCACGCTAAGAGGCTCAAACTGCTGCTGGGAGAACAGCCTGCCATCACAACCAAAGGTACATAATATTGTGAAAATGCTCTGAGTATAAATAACGGAGTTTGAGAATAATGTGGATGCTCAGCAGTCAGTAATTCACTCTGATTTGATCTGGAAGATCCACCAACATAAAATGCTGCAGCAAAAGGACTTGAACCCAGTGGAACCGAGGAACTGTCTGCTGTCGGGTTATGGAGAACGTCTCTCATGTGCTTCACTTGTTTGCTGCTCATCCAAGCTCTTGATTTTCCTCTGTTCAGCGCCAGACTCTGTTTTAACACCCTGGTTCACACCTAACTCCTTTCCAAGTCCCAGTTTTTCTTCTGTGTTTTATAATTGAAAAAAACAACAACATTTGCTTAAATTTGTCATCAGTACCTGTCTGCGTACGCGCTCCATCTTTTCATCACTAAACATGATGCGCACAGCTGCAACCCCAAAATGCAAAACACCCACAAACTGTGACAATTACAGGCCAAATTATCGCTGGTGCTGTTGGAACGTTCTCATGTTGTCAGGCTATTAGTTCACCACTTTATTTCTGAAATGATGGGGAAACATTCATTACTGCCTAACATCTGGCTGAGGATCTGCTTTTCTCAAATCACTGTGAATTTAATCACACGCTGACCGGCTCGGGGTTTGCTTATGCTTAAATGTGTTTTTACTGTTGTTATTTTCTTAGTTTGTTTTCATTGTTTTGTTTTTGTACTTTTTTTTTGTAAACCCACATTCTTCAACTTGCCCGTCGCTTGCTGCTGCAGCCCCACTGAGGAGAACAAAGGTTGTAGGGATATTCAGTTCTTACTCAGGCTGACTGAAGGCTGGCATGATTGTGAACCACTAACAGCTGCTCACCTTTAATCTTCTTACAAATCGGCAGCTGTGGAAATAATGAGCAAAGGTCACGGGGTGTGAGAGCTTTAACACGAAGCCACAAACTGCAAACATTTTACTGTCAAATTGGTGTGAAACTCAGTCACTGAGCACACACACACACACACACCCACACACACACACACACACACTCTGCACATACACGCATGGCATGCGTGTATGTGCAGAGTTTGGCCGTGAGCTTTGTTTGTTTACGAGCGCATCCTGGCTCTCTGCTTGACCGGGTCATTTATATGCACTCCGCAGCTCCGTGTTTTTACTTTTGCTCTGGGCGCAGCTGAGGCGCTGTGCGGACCGATAAGGCGGCGGGCTTGATGGTGTTGTTTATCTGAGCTATGCATTGTTCAAACCGTCCTAAATGTATTTATTACTTGTGGTAAGACCCAATCTACTTAATGGAGCGCCAAAGTCTTGGTCAGAAAGGAGGAGCTGAATATTTTCCTCTTATTGCACAACCATTGTAGCATTTTCACTCCAAAGTGAAGCACAAGACAAAAAAAACAACACAAAAAAACGCACAAAAACGCTGCATCGTCAGACCAGCAGAGGCTACAGAATGCTTGTTTTTTGTCTTTTAAGAAAAGAAAGCACATTGAAAAATTCATTCCTAAATGAAACCATGCAGAAATCCCTAGCTGGTGTTTCTTGGTCACCTCTGCAGCATGGCTCGATGTGCTGCGTTTACAGCCTGCCGTTCGTTCACCTGTGGGCTCCGTTCACTTTTATCCCGGGGCTCTGCATCGATCTCTCTGCTTCTCTTTAAATCTACTAGGCAGCTTGAAATATTTATGCTCTCAGGCAGTGATTGAACCAGAAGTGGATGCAGAAAAATGGGGTTTGCTGTTTGTTCTCGCTGCAGAGTTTGTGTTGAACTAATTTATTCGGTACTTTAGGGCCAAACTGTCCCTTATTTTGCATTTTCCTATGCATATTGAGGGGATTGAGAAAACTGGAATGAAACCATAGTTTGAAACTTTTGATTTATTCTTTCAAGCTGGTCTTTCTTTGCCGTGAGAGAAGTGTCTAACCGTGGCGTCCTGCACAGCTAAAATAATAAAAACCTGACATTATGCTTGTAAATCTTTCACAGTTCCAAGCTGAAAGAGAAGCATATGGAGTTTTGTTAGTATAAGCAGATGCAGTGACACAAACACCATGATAGTTCTTCTCAAGCTGATGTTTGCTTCAGGAGTTACTGTTAAGTTATTAGCATGATAAAACCACATCTGATTGTCAGTCTTATCAATCAATCAATAGTTTGTATAGCACATTTCAGTGACAAGGCAGTTCAAAGTGCTTAAAAGTGCATTAAAAACACAAACATACCAGGTGATGTGGTGGCGCATTGACACAGCCAGAGTCCTCGTTGCAGCCGTTGCAGGTTCAATTCCCGGTTTGATCTTTTTCGCATGTCTTCTCTTTCGCTCTCATTGTCTGATCACTCTGAAATAAAGGCCACTAGAGCCAACAGAACCTTTACAAAAAAAACATACAAAGGCACAAAAGATGCCACACAGTAAACCAGGAAACATTACATTTTGCTAAGTGCATCGAAATGCTGGTTAGTGTTTCATTTCTCTTAATTTTATTACTCATCAGACAACGCTAGGATACACGAGTGTCAAAGAAACTGAGCACATTTAAAGGGGGCAGTGTTATCTAAAATCTATCTTTTTTTTTTTAGTTTAGTCATGTTGTGATATTTCTTCATCAGAAACAGAATTTACTGCCTTGATTCTTTAATGCTTGTTTGAGAAATCCTTTAAGCTCCCGAGTGGACGTAGCTCCGCCTTCCAGACACAGCTCCTCCTCTCAGGATATATCTGTTAGAAAGCGAGTGAGGATAATGTGCTGCCTGTGGATACATCAACCTGAATGCATAGCCAAGATATTTCAGATTTGCTCTACTGAAAAAAACCAGACAGGCCAGTATTCTGTGAACCATATGCAGAGGTCTGCTGTAACGCATATTTTTAGAAAGCAAAAAAAAGCCAGATTTAGTAACAGAGATGTTGTAGAGCAGCGGTTCTCCAATCCAGGCCTCAAACGAAGGTGTCCTGCAACTTTTAGATGCGTCTCCGCTTCAACACACGAGTCAAATAATGAGGTCACCAGCAGGACTCTGGAGAACTTGACTACAGACTGAGAATGTAATTAAATCATTTGATTCAGGTTTGCAGGGACACATCATAAAGTCGAGGCCCCGGTTTGATGACCTGCTGCAGAGCCTAAGGCGAACAGCAACGTTGAGTTTCCCTGTTGTCACTGATGAAATACGCCAGAAACACACTAGGACTCTCTCATTTTAGCATTTCAAATGTTCAGATATGCAGCACATTGTTGTATTTCCTCAAGTTAGATGCTCGGAATGCTGCGTGATGATGCAGTGCTCTGACAGCACACTGTGCTCTTTGCTCTCCCTGCCATGTGTCAGTGACAGACACAGTCATTAAGGATGCCATCTGTGGTCAATGGTTCAGAACAGGAGAAGCTCCAGCTCAGCCCAAAAAAAAGCGGGGAGGGTTGGTTCAGCCATCAATTGAGCTGACACCCTGCTACCAGGGTCTCTCCCCACTAACAAGCAAATATGAGAAATGAGGGGAAAACTTTTACGTTTGCAAATGTTTTTCACTTTTTCTCGCCGGGCTTTTTTACTGCCTTGAATGTGACGCCTGCAGTGCCCACTCTCACCTTAAGTACAAAGTTTAACATCTAATTATTTTTACTCCATTACAAAGCCATATGCACAGTTAACTTTCACCATCAGAAACAAAATGCTTTGAGGTTTTATCATTAAAATGTTAAATGTGTTGTTCTTTGCTAATGGGAACTAAAACAAGCGCAGCCTCCTGGACAGAGCTGACTTTATTCTCTAAAACTGTTAATCAAAGCTCCGCTGTCTGTCGTTCAGGCACCCAGACACATCCTGGTGGATAAATCCAACACACCTGGAGCTCTGGGATATTGATTACTACAGAAGCAATGTCAGCAGGAAGTCCTGTTTATCTGGTCGTTTGGATCCAACTCTTCCTGCCTGCTGGCACCAAAAACACAATCCCACATATAATGGACACGACCAATACAATACAACACAGGAGGTTTAGTTCTAGCTGGTAATACTTTGACGGGTTGTGAATAAGACTGTCATAACACTGTCATAAACAGGACATGACCACCTGTCATGAACACAAGTAAGTCTTCGTGAATATTTATGACCGTTGTCATAAAGTGTCATTCAGTAAATCATGACACTTTTAGTACAAAGTTGACATTCAAATTGTCTTCGTTATGACAATTTGACATTAACCAAAAATTTATAATCTGACATAAATTTGTTCTAAAGGTATTACTGATTAAACTTTAGCTTTAATAACATAAAGTTACATCATTTTCAAAATGTAATCGTCCCCGGTTTGTCATATAAAAAACCTTTTATATCAGTGAATGTTGCTGATGGAAAGGCTGATATCCAAAATTACAGTTTACAGCTAATACCGATACCGATACCATGCCAATAACATCGTGCATCCCCAGATGGAAAGATGAATGGATGTAAAATTATAAAGAGCCATGTTAGGCTGTGTTCCTGTGGGTTGCCCCTCCATGTGGTAGATTAGTAAACTGCAGCTTCTCCTTGCTGATGTTTAAACATGTATTTTAAATTGGTGAAGGTCTTCTCATTTAGAGTGTTGGACGCAGCTGGTGCAGTGTCGAGCAAAAACCCTCTGCACTCTGAATGGAGCTGAACCCTCCCTGAAAGCTACACACTATAAGCTCAAATAAACTTTTGGAAAACACTTTCACAGAACACACCTCTTTGGTAGCAGACTTTGGTGTATTCGTCATCATCCTGTAAAGCAAAGATGCTGGATTGAGGTTGCATTGTGAAAACATGTGAAATATGAATAATCCTTACAGCTGCTTACAGGAGTATTGAGACAGAAAGCACCACAAGTGATGAAAAGATGACTGTTATATTCCACTTTAATGTTAGAAAACAGAACGCCTAAATTTGCAGGTTTTGTGCCGTTATTTTCAACACCGTTAGGCCAATATCACATTTCTTTGCTTCACCTTAACTATTAAATATGAGTAATGATGTAGTAGTGCCAGTAGAGACCTACAAGACCATCAGTCAATGGCTCTTTAAGACGGATGGGTGGGTGTGTCGGAGCCAGCGCTGGAAAAAGGTCTAACGGGCATATCAGTTATTTGAAAAACTAACCTCTAATGTAATTGTTATTATTCTGGGTTTGGTCATATGAAAGCCCCTCAGTGTGCAACCAGGTGCAGGAGACGCAGACAGGACGATTCAGTTCAATGCATCAGCTTCTAAAGATATAGGAGGACATTCTGAGAAAACTGTGGACTTTAAGTTTGAACAAGCACACCTGACGGCTCCTCACTGCGTGGAGAAAGGGTGTGAGCACTGCGTGCATAAACATGATTGACACTGCTAAGCCATTCCTCCTGGCTCTGACTTGTCATTTCTGATCGGGACTGGTGTGTTTCTGCAAATTGCAGTAAGATCGCTAGAGGAATACATTTTTTTATTTACTTATTTTTAACAGATTACCTGTCTCATTTTATACTCATTCTCCAAAAATGAGCCCTCATAGAGGAATAATGTCAATGCTGGTGCAGGCAAACCTGTTTGACATGAACAACTTCCAAATCATCCATTTTGAGTGACATTCAGGCCAAGTCACAAAAATTTGGAGGTGAACATCCAGGCGCTGCAACAGGAAGTGAGGTCAAGGCACAAAGGTCCTATTAGTGCGCACGCCCTCACACCCAGTTTAAAGCTTCAACTGTAAATCTACCTTAAAATAGCTTTAGCTAAAGCCTGGCTGTCTGCCAGAATTATAATGCATTTCCCCCAGAGTATTAAATATAATACACCCTGTAGTTACAGAATTGTCTCAAGACTGCAGAATTCATGATTAATAACTTTCTGTACGCCTGCAAATCAAATCACGGCAATTACCAACAACGGCCTTGCAAAATACGTGCATTGTTTCACATCCACTGAACTGAAATTAGTTGATGATGATGATGTACAGCATCATTCAAATTCTGCTTACAAACGAGACGCTATAAATATGAGACATAATGCATGCTTAAGCATCACGCTGTTGACTGCAATAACTGTTTATGTTCTGTGATGGATTCGGTAAATATTTCCCTCCCTGTGAGTTCAGAACAGCGTCTGTATTGTTTTCATCCGTCATCCCGGGCTGCCAGATAACTGCCAGCATGTTGCTGTTGCTGATCCGTTCAAAGACTGTTGATTCCATCATACCTGATCTAAATCGCCGTGCTTTCTGAACGAGGCATTGAAGCTGCTCACTGAACCGCCTGCAAGGTCTAGATGTGGTCTGACGTTGCATTAGTTAGTTGAAGAGGTCGTCCTGCAACCACCGAGTCTCAGATGAGAGCTGTGCAGAACCGAGCGCCCGCCGCTGTGCGGGGAAGCTTCAGCCAGATGCTGACAGCAAAGGTTCCTCACAGTCTGCCCCCCGTGGCTGTTTTTTCCACCGGATTTGCCATTTCGAAATGTTGACTGGTGTAATGGTACGTAATGGGACAGCACTAAATGTTGACTTAGGGTGATCTGAGTGCTGGAGTGTTAAAACTGATTAAGCTGATAGTGGCGTTTTGTTTCGGGAGCCCTGGGCGGTGTTTGGGGTTAACGGCGTCATCCATGCGTGAAAGCACAAACGGCCCCGCCTTGAGAAGAACGGGCTATTTCCTCCGTTTGCCAAGGAGAATTTAGCTTCTCCTCTTCAGGCATTTAATGAAGATAACAGCTTGTTATTCTGAGGGCTCCAATCACAGGGCCGCGGCCGCTGGTTCAGCTTTGCAGATCAGAGCTCGTTAAATCCTTTGCCTTGTTCCCTTTCTGCTTGCTAAGACAAACTTGTGTTTTCACCCCTGATGGCTGGTCGTATCCTTTTATTTTTAGAGAACTCGGCAGCATTAAGTTGCTGTAAGGGAGCTTGTAGTTTAGCTTCTTATTTGGTGTGTTGCTGTTTTGGTAGATATTTTGTGGGATCCACAAATCCAGATCTGCAGGAGCACAGAGGACACAAACCACTTTGCGTCCCAGGAAGCAATGTGTGAATGGTTCGTGGATGTCTAAGTTTAAACTGGTATGTGGTGTAAACCAGATAATGATTTTTGTTTTTTATATTATTTTATCCATCAGGATGGATAAAACCAGTAGAATGGGCCGGTTTGTAGTAAGAAGTAAGGTCTGTCTGTCTGTCATAAATGCATGACTGTGTTTAATATTGTTCTCTGTTTTTGGCCATAAAGTAGAGGTTTTTCTGAAAATTATTATTTTAGTGAAATCACAATTGTAAAAGTATGAAAGACATTCAAACTGAATTCAATTTTGTTGTTGACATTTTTTCAACTCCTATGATTGTTTTTTTTTTTTTTTTTTGTTTACATTTTACATCTAAGCTTTCTTATATCACAAACATCACAGAAATGACACAATTATATAACTTCGTCTCATATTATGCTTCATTTACCAAGGGATACATGGCGGATGAAGCTAATCTTGGGTTTTTCTGGCTGTCTGACTAATTTGGCTAAGAATTATCTGATCGCCTCGTAGAGGATTGGAATGACCGAATGGTCACATGATCATTACATAAAAGTAATTCAGCTTGACACTGATGCATCGATAAATAAGATTCACCTGTAGCTTCACTAGGTAAAGCGCTTCTTTAAACTTGCTGACCAAATTGCAGACTCATGATCACGTTTGTTTTGTCCCGGTTTTTCTATCAGAGGCATCCCACAGTGATGTAAAGAGCTCCCCAGAAACGTCTCCCATGATGTCACCGCGACAGCGCCGCGACTCAGATCGATACTGCCAGCTGTGCAACGCCTGGTTCAACAACCCCGGCATGGCTCAGCAGCATTACGACGGGAAGAAGCACAAGAAGAACGCCACCAGAGCCGATCTGCTGGAGCAGCTGGGCCAGACCCTGGACATGGGGGAAATGAAAGGTACTCTCCACATACTTAAGAACGGTTCAGTCGGACACAAGAGAAACTTCAATTTAAAATCCATGAGCCAACAGAAATGCTGCCAAACAAATCTACATATCTGTGTATGAAAGAAAAAAAGTATATTTCTTTGTCCATCTTTTCCTTTCAGTGCACATATGTAGCTTTTAGTATTGCAAGTCACCACATATAAAAGTGCTCCTCCATGAGGAATAACTCCTGGACCAGCTCTACACCCTCAGCAGGGTGCATGGCGGGTGCATGGCAGTTCACCCAACCAGTCTACAATCTGGAGATAAAAGAAGGAAATCTGTTATTTTGGACCAGGACATTTCGTTCAAATCCCATGTTGAACTGAGATTGTTGCTTATTATCGGAGTTTCAACGCCGTCCAGGTCGAGTGACAGAGTGACCAGGTTCTTTTTTCACAGGTTCTGCTTCAAAGATGACAACTTCTGTCCCGTCAGAATTTAAACGAATAAAGTTTAGTGTCATTCGGGTTTTATATCTTCAGGATAAATCAATTTATGGATGGATATGGTGGAGAACCATTAGCATAACAGTGGAAATTCATCCCATGTTGTCTGATGGTTTTTCTATTGGAGATATAAGTAAAGGATTGGTCCAATCATAGAGTCATGTGGTACTTAAAAAGTCACCCTCGAGTGTGAAGAAGATTTATTATTTATATGAACAAACTGGAATCTGTCTCACATATTATCAATGTAACCCATTGTTTTCAGGACATCGTCTTCCCAAAGAAAAGCAATGTTATTACCATCGCACACTGAGGTTATTACATTTTCAAATGATTTTTTTTTTATGCTTTGCCCATAATCTCATAAATAGAAAAAAACTGCGTAGGCTTCATCACACAAAAGAAAAAAAAATCCATAGTCATTCCATTCGTAGGTTTTACCTTCTCAACCCTTATTACATTTTTGGTTGGTGCAATGGTTGTAAACCAGGAGTAAAACAATAAACCTGTAGTTTATTGTTTTAAACCAGGAGTAAAACAATAAACCTGTAGTTTATTGTTTTAAACCAGGAGTAAAACAATAAACCTGTAGTTTATTGTTTTACATCTTGACTCTGCTGTTGAGCAGAAAATCTTCAGCCACTCTGGAGTTCTGCAGTTTCTAAAAATACAGCAACGCCTCTTCTTTTCTTAAAACGGTTGAAACAAAATTACATCTGAGAACCTGTAACTGTTTCAAATCTCACTGATTGCTCCAAATCTACAGATGCACGTAGTTTTACGTTTGTGCCGGCTATTTTCCACCTGTCTGTTTTCCATTTCGCTGTTAAGGAAGGCCCTTCATAAATATTAATGATCCGCCTAATCAGACGCCACATAGAAAGCAGCATAATGCGTCGCATGTGGCTCATCAAGTTCTTCTTCAAGCTGGGAATAAAAAATGACCATCAAATCATTTCCTCCACTGAAAACATGTTGGCTGTGAACCAGAAGGGCCCATAAACCTGGAGCCCGTCTCACTGTAAATCTGATCTCTGACTTGTGCTGCGGCTGACAGCCTGATACTGTTTTACAAGAGAGGAACAGAATTGCCTGGTTGGCTGTCTCCCGGTTACTGTGCGTCACTAAGAGTTTCACAAAATCATTTGAGCCAGTGAAGGCTGAGAGGAGAGCAGGAACTTCTCTAAACTGATCAGCTCATTCGTTAAGACCTGGTTAGCTGTTTGTACAGCATCCTGTCTGTGAATCTTCAGCTTCCTGACTGACTGGCAGTGACAGGTGAGGGATCTTCTCCTGTCCTGGAACCACGGGCACCGGAGTCCCCCAGGGGCCTGTTTTCTCCCCGTTTCTTTTGTCTCTGCTCTTAAATGACTGCAGCTCCGTTTATGACGTAGTCATATAAATCAAATGGCGTAAATCCAGCGATTTGATCAACAAACATGTCAGGGAGGAGACAGGATCATATGGTATTAATTCCATGTTTTGTAAATACAGCTGCGACTTCTACAGACAAGTTGGTGCGAGTCGAACAAGTCAGAAGACACGACAATGAAGGCAACTGGACAAAACCATCAACATGAGCTTACGTAATTGCAAAGGTTCAGTACTGTACGGTACACGCTTGTCAGAAACCTGCATGGTTAATCGGCTCCTCTAAAGAATAAAAGGTCGTTGTTCAATCATTTGGTTATCTGAGCCGGAAGCTGAACCCCCAGACAGCCTTTTCACGGAGCCTCAACGCCACTTTCCCTCTTTGTTTTCTTCTGCATCTCCTGTTTCTCCTGCCATCAACTTTCTGCCCGGCAGCACCGCGTTAAACTGCGTCTTTATGGAAGCTGATGCATATTTCATCCTATGGCAACATTTAGTGTCAGATTGCACATTTGCTCTGCTATCTGAGAGGCAGGCGAGGACAGCAGCGGGGCCGAACAGAACGCCAGCGAGCCAAGAGGAAAGTAGGAAGAGATGGAAGGGAAGAATGATGACGAGTGTTGGGAAAGAGATTTTCTTCATCCGACATTCCCTCCTTCTCGGTTGCTGTCCGCTTGTCTGCAGCTAATTCTCTCCCCACATGCAGACGCTGCTGATTTTTCCTGATGGGGATGTTTTCCTCTTCAGTCCTAATCAGCGCACTGCAGAAACACATCTTACCAAGTGTTTTTGTCTTACACACAATTGTAATCCCGCTTGACATCGCTCTGAGTCTGGTCTGGATTCTCATGGATTATCTTTTCTACTTTGAACGCATTTTTCCTCCTAAAATATTTTCTCTTGCAGTGCAGAATTGTGTGCGTTTCTTTATGTATTTCCTTTTTTCAACTTTTAACTCAGTTCTTCTTAGTGATTCTACTTATCTCAATGTTATTACTTCTGCTGGAGTTTAGAGTTACCATGGCGACAAAATTGACTACTTTTCAGGCTCTGTACGTACCTAGAAACACATCTTAACTTTTTAGTTTGCAAAAAAATCCAAGTTCTGTTCAGAAGAACGGTCTCTTTATGGACCGTGTGCTTTGTCCTGCTCTTAATAAGGAGAGGATGGATGATGCCACTGAGTGATATTCCATAGCTGGCTGTGTTTTTTTATTTTATTTTTATTTGAGACAGAGCAGGACTTTGCTTTGTTTTGATAACAAGGATTGTGATGACGAGTTTTTGTCACCTCGTCCTCACCAGCGCAGATTCGGCTCCGCCATCCTGAATTTTGGTCCGGCTGCAGCCACGAGGGTCTGCTTTCGCAGAGTCTGCTCGGGTTTACTTCAGGCCTCACAGTTTTCTGATGAATCGCTTCAACATGCACAGAATTCAAAGAAATTTCTGCATTTCCTGACGCGCTCGCCGCTGTGGCTACAGCAGCGTGTGTGAATAGGTGAATGACTGGAGCTTCACAGAACAGTACAGGACATTTACCATAACTGACTCACAAATCTAAACTGGCCTCTTGACAACATTAAAGACCAGAGTCAAAACACACTGTCTGAACCCTATCAGCCGTGTCGTCATGGATCAGTGTCCTAGCAACTGTACCGGTGTTTTGCAGTTTCTCGGTTGGTTGCGAACTGAAGAGTGTTTCCTCATTTTTGTCCGTTCTCTCTTCAGACAGCTGAGGTCAGTCCTCACTCTGCCAAACGTCCCATCAGACGTGCCGGGTTTCCTCGGAGCCCATCACAGCTGTTAATTGGAGACGTGGTGGTGGCAGACATGATTTAGCGCTTTGTTTTTCACCTCCTCAGAGGCGTCGTCGCAGCTCACAAGTTGCAGTTATCAAGCTGTTGCTCACAGCCGTGCTTTCTATTCAGCGCTCCCTGTGACAATAAAAATAGATCTATAGCAGCCTCAAAGATGGGGAAATTGCGCTGAGCTTATCAGGGTCCTCTTAGTAAAGAAAGAACGCCGGCTTTTCAATCTGACGTTCGATTCAGAGATGCTTGACCGCTTCGGGATATTTAATCTTAGCTTTCTGCTCAAATTCAGAGACCGGTCTTATCTGGGATTTGGCAAGTGCGACCATTTTATTTCTTCAAGGGGATGAAAGCACTTTTGAGCAATGATTTCATTATGGAAGTCCATTTCATGCTACAGTCTACTTTGTGATTCAAACAAATTGCTTGGTCCACATTGAGATTTGGCGGCGCGCCCGTTCAGCCGGG